AGTGTGGATCAGGGTTGCTGACATCAGTGCTCTTCCTCTCTTGGGTTCATATGGCTTCAGGCAGCTTCAAACCCTTGTAGTTTCTCTGGAGTGGAGAAGTCTCAAGGGATGCCTACTCTGAAGAGATGGACAAGAGCAAGCAGCTCCTTCCTCAGAACAAATTGGAAAAGCCATCATATTGCTTACCTGTAACTGTGATGAGAGAGGGAAATGGGGGGAGGGAGGGATACCCCTCGCTCTCCATATAGCTCTGCGTTTCTTTCTCTCCCTCTGTCCATATATATATGAGTGAGGGAGAGACTTTATGATGCTAATGTATTAGTGACAAAAAAATCCAGGAGCACTGGGAGAGTAAACATGCCAGATGGAGGCCTGGCTGAATGAGACCCAGTAACTTCTCACATGAAGTGTACAACGTCCCATTGAAATCCTTGGAGGCTGTGCCAAGTTCATTATGTCCCCCAGACCCTCGTGTTTATCAGATCCTTAGAATAGGACTTTTGTTTAAAATAGAGTCTTCACAGATGAAATTAGTTTAGTAAGGATGAGGTTGCAGTGGATTGAGGTAGACCCTATCCTCATGATGGATATCTTAATAGGAAGAGGAACATTTGAGTAGAGAGGAAGACATACAAGGAAGATGGCTGTATGGAGACAGAGAGTGTAACTAAGGTGATGTACCCACGAACTGAGGAATGCCAATGGTCAATGGCAGCCATCATAGATTACAAAAGTGGAAAGAAAGATTGGTCCCTAGATCTTTTGGAGGGAGGGAAGCTCTGCTGTCATCTTGATCTTTGGACTTGCAGCTTCCACATTAATGAGAGAATAACTTTTGTGTTGTAAGACACCTTGTTTGTGGTGGTTTTTGATGTTGGCCCTAGGAAATGAACACAAAGGCCAGTGGTGGTGTTTTCTGTGACTCTGCATAAAGTGTATGGTGTGCCTCACCAACACAGTGCTGAGCTCTGGTTTGTTTCACCAGCAGCCTGGCCCCAGATAGAAATCTCCATTCAAAGGTCCCTCTTCAGGGATGCACCCATGAAATCTGAATGTTATGGCTGCCTAAACGAGACTCACACACACAACGACAGTGTCAGTTGACACTCCAACATCAATGGGGGAAATCTAAGGGGCCCCATCCCTAGAAGAAGAGCTACAGGCAACTCAGAGCTGCCGAGAGAGGGAGAGTCAGTTGCCTCCTTGGCTAAACTGTCTGCTAGATCATCTAATCCTAAGTGGTCTGCTCTAAACACATAACATACGAGAAACACTAAATGGACTCAGCAGGCTATATTTATGAATACATATGCATTCATATGTATATGTAACAATAATTAAAGAAGAAGAGGTGATAAATTTGAGAGAGAGTGGAGACATGGGAGGAGTTGGGAGGAAGAGAAGATGGGGTATAAATAACATAAATGACGTAAATATTCTACTTATGCACAAAATTCTCAAAACAGTGTAAAATAAAACAACAACAGAAGGTCCCTGTTCCATAGAAGGGCACTGCTGATTACAGATAAGCCACCACTGGATCTGTTCCCAGCCCCATGGACGTACCTGTCTCCCCTCTGTGCTCCATTTTACACTCATTCTTGGAGATCTTGTGGTTCATTCACACAGACCTTAAAGGCCTCTGGTCCCTAGTGAATGTTCCACTTTTCCCCAAAGTTGTGTTGGTTTGAATGAGAACGGCCCCTATAGGCTCATATGTTTGAATGCTTGGTCCCAGTTAGTGGAACTGTTTGGGAAGGATTGGATATGACTTTGTTGGAGGAAGTGTGTCACTAGGAGTGGGCTTTGGGGTTTTAAATGTTCACACTATTTCCAGTTCTCTCTCTCTCTCTCTCTTTCTCTCTCTCTCTCTCTCTCTCTCTCTCTCTCTCTCTCTCTCTCTGATACTAGAAAGCTGTTCTGTAGGTCTGCTGGTGCATTGGTCTTGGTCTTCTGGCCTCCAGAACTGTAAGAACATACAAGTCTATAGTTTAGGTCACCCCGTCTATGGTAATTTGTTACAGTAGCCTGAGCTGTTTTCCTATCAGCGTAATCCCACTCACTCTCATTCTCCCTCCTAGCTATTCACATGTTTTAAAAGCTTTTTTAATTGGTAAACTTTTTATACAAAAGATTTAATAATAAAGGTTTCAGATTTTGTGGGCCATGACTGCTATTTCTTGTGGTAGCAGTCACTGGTAGTATTTGAACAAATGAGTGTAGCTATATTCCAATGAGACATTTTCAATGGATTTTTGAAATTTGAATACTGTATCATTTTTGCCTGCAATGAAACATTTTTCTTCTGATGTTCCAATGAGGCAAAAGTCACTAAGTTTGTGGGGTACACACACAAAAAAAGATAGGGACTGTATTTAATATTTCCTGGGAAACTTTCTCCCTCTTCTTCAAGACAGTCTTTGCATGATGATATTTCATTGTGGACACTCAAGTATTGAGCACCCATAGTGGCCAGGGGGCAAGCTTGCATCAGATGCTGTGACATGCTCTGAAAAAAACATGGTCTTAGTCATGAGCCTGGGCAGAGTTGGAGGTAATTCCAGGGTTCCTCCTTCTCACAATCCCCGGCAACCTGCAGTCACGGAGATGTGTGTTTCCATCTAAACATCTTTTGCTCCTGTTATATGCTCAGTGCACAGTGGGACCAAAGACTCAGTTTAGCACATTCTGATGGCTCGCTGGCCTTCGGATTATTATTTTTTTTTTTAAAAGATTTTTGTTATGTATATGGAAGAGGGTGGCAGATCTCATTACAGATGGTTGTGAGCCACCATGTGGTTGCTGGGAATTGAACTCAGGACCTCTGGAAGAGCAGTTGGTGCTCTTAACCTCTGAGCCATCTCTCCAGCCCCTGGCCTTTGGATTTTTTGAGTCTCTTTTATGTCTCATGACCTCCTGTTCTTCTGGAGCTCATGGAAACTCAATACTTGTTTGATGAGTGACCATGGTATTGGAATATAAATTTGAAGACTGTCTTGAGAAAGGAGAAAGTTTCCAGGGGCTTCCTGTCAAGCTATACTCCCCATCCTTAGCCCACAAACTCTGTGGCTTTTGCTATGTTAAGTAGTTGTAACATCAGAGGAAGAATATTTTATTGCAGGCAAAAATGATAAGGTATTCAAATTTCAATATCCATGGATAAAGTTTTATTGGAACACAGGAAGTAGACAAAATATTTTTGTACTAAGATCATTGACCCGTTTATTGAAGAAGCACAGGTTTTAATTTATAGGATGCTCCTAAACTACTTCTACAGTAGTAGTTTACATCCCAACTCAGGAACACTCGGAGAGCTGCAGGGCTTTTGTTGCTCGATTTCCTCGTCTGCTTGGTGCAGAGACACTCTGGTCCCAGGGGAGCTTATGCTGCCTGTTGGAGGGGAAAGATGAGGGGCACAATAGTGCAGTTCAGTGGGGAATCCAGATTTCAGGTGGTAATAAAGAACAAGGAAAGTCAAATGGCAACATTCTGTCTGCCCCATGAGCTCCAGCCAGATGCTCTCAGGCATGGAGGCTAGAGATGCATGAAGTGAGCGTGTGGTACCCCAAGTTTACAGATGAGATTTCTGCAAGGAAGCAACTTGCCTGAAGCTATGTGGAGACTTGACCATTTTTTTTTCTTTAGCTGCTTGTCTGGACTTAGCTCCAAAGCATCCTTACTTTGGAGAAAGAGCCATAGACCTGCTTTCAGGACATTTCTAGCAAGCGCAGGAGTCGTCACCGGCTGGGTGGATACTGGGATTTAAAAAGCAGAATGTAAGATAGGAAGGATCTGGATCCTTTTTACTTAAGATATGGTTGTCAGATCAGCAGCACAGACACTACCCAGCTGCTAGTCTCCTGCAGGGTGACAGGTGTTTCTAGGGCTTGTGCTAGACCTTGGATGGCATGAACCATCTGGAGTTGAATTAGTTCCTAACCCAAATGTATCTCAGAATACCCAGGGAACTTACATCAGGCTAATGGAGACCTGGGGTCTATCCAATGCTCCCTACCCTCTTCTTCTGTGGTTGGAATAAGCTATAATTCCTCACAGGGTCATTTTCCTTCTGTAAAATCCCCAAATCAGTCATTTTCAATCTTAACTGCCCATTGTTACTGCCTGGAGAGGCTTTAAGTTGTTCTGATAGCTGAGGGCCCACAGCCAGAAAATCTGTGTCAAATGATACATTTTCCACATCATTGTAATTGGTCCCTGACTTCTGAAGATTGGGCGTGCAGTTTTGACTTTATGATGGTGTGAAAGTGATATATATTTAGTAAAAAGCACACCTTCGATTTTGATCTTTTTCCAAGTCAATGATATGTGATATGATACTCTCTTGTCATGGTGTCAACCAAAGGAAATGAAAAATATTTTGGAGTGCTCTGTGTGGCTAAGCTAGCATGTTTGGTAGATGGCATGTATGGAATATCCTTGAGCTTACAATAGTTTGTCTAGCTCTAACATCATTAGCCTCTGTATCCTGCAGGCAGTGTTGAGAGCCAGGGAGCCATATCACTGTTCTCAGACCTAAGGACACAGCAGCAGTTGGCTATGTGATCCTCAGAGATTCAGAAGCGCGGGTGCAGCTCAGCTCTGGATTTATTCAGTGAGTCAAGCATCTGCCTCCAAGAGATGACTGCAAACAATGCTATAGTTAAACAAGGAGTGATGAAAACGTAAATGCTCCTTCAAGGCTCTCTATCAGTTTTAACGTGTGACTTGGAAGTCAGCATGTGGTAAGGCTGAGCATGAGTGTGTCCAGTAGGCTTCATACATGATGCAAGAAGAGCAGCTTGGGAAACCCTAGACTCTGGCCTCTGAGGTCTTTCAGCTCCGATTCTGAGGTCTCTCAGGGTAATGATTCAGTTCCTCCTCCCCATGCTGGAGCCACTTGTTGACGGTAAGCTCAGGAGACGTCACCATTTGTAAGCTCAGCTTCGGTGTCCCCTGAGAGAGCAGCCAGCTGGCAGCAGTTTGGAAAGCAGTAAACACATTTGACTTTTCTCCATTGGCAGTGCCACCACGGACATGATGTCCGAGAAGACCGGGTCTCTGGGTCGAGGCAGGCAGAGGAGCCTCTGCTGCTTTGCACCAAACCAAGGGCAAGCCCGATTCCTGCTGTTTGCTCTGTATGCTGACCCAAAGGTAGGTACTAGCCAGAGGCAGCTATTGCCCGGACACCAGTTCTAACCCTGGAACAGGAAGAAGTGTCTTTAGACACGGTCTCTTGGGGTCAGCAGCTCTGCGGAAGACTGGAAGAATCCAGAGCTAGAATAAAGGGCAGAGATTAGCAGATTCAGGCTCTGGGGCTGAGCTCTGACCCTGCCCTGACTCTGAGAGATCCTGCTGGTGCCTCCTCTTCTCCATGGAGCGTGTGGCAGCTTAGTGGCGATGGAATTCATTGTGCACAATGGAGTGTCAGTTGCTTCTTGCTAATGGATGACTTCAAATGTGGAGAAAGATTTATTCACCAAGTCAAGCATAAGCCTCTAAGAGACGACTGTGAGTAAACACATTGACACGCCTAAACAAGAAAATTTAAACACATCTTCCACATTCTCTATCAGTGTAACTGGGTGGTTTGAAAGCTTGTGGGGATTCGGCTCAGGGAATTACTGATTAAGGTTCCTTCCCCTCCCCTGTCTGGCAGTCCTCTCAATATGCTAGTGATGTGGAAAAAACAAGAGACAGACACATGAGTTTGGTAGCCTTTCACAGTCCCCAGGATTGGATTTGTTGGTATTTAGTGTGTTGTTCTTGTGGGGAGGAGTCAGGAATACCTTCCTGATGCCAGGCAAGGGTCCAGAGCCTCGCGGCTGGGAGGGCCTTCTTCAGAGGACATCTGGCCAGCTTCACAGTGACACTGAGGTCTGGATAAGAAAAGGACCATACGGGGGGGGGGGGTGTCCGATTGCGGGGCTTGAAGCCAGGCCTCTTCTCTGTTCTTTCTATGAAGTGGAAACGCTAACATCGGCCTCACCGAGATGTTCCAGGGATGGAAAGGATATACATCTAGACCCTGGGAAGGTGGGGAAGGATTGGCTGTGAACTTTTCTACATTCGTTTTGTGAGGAGCCCGCGTCCTTTGCCACTTTCCCAGCTGTGTCTACCGCTAGCTGAGGTTCCCAGGTCCCTGTCCCCCATTGGCTGGAGCACAGGCACAGGCAGACACAGCCCCTGACATTTTCTTTGAGATAGTGACAGCTGGTGAGACTTTTGACTAAAGGCATAAAGAGCAAGCAGCAAAAACAGTTACTGTGTTAAAAGTGGTTTAAAAATGTGCTGCGCCATCTGTTTGGCCAGGGAGGTTTTGTGGGGCATGCGTGGGGGAAGAGGCCCCATCTCCCACTTCTGGGTCTCACCTTGGTCAGGGCCAACACTGAGAAACTTTTCCAAGTATGCAAGTACCCGGTGTCTTCTACTTATCCCAGCCTCTTTTCTGCTCCCCACGCTCCTCATTTTGTTTTCTGCAAAGACATTTTCTCCACTTTCTCGCCTGCTAATGAAGTACCAAATGGGTAAAACACAGTGGATTGGCTCAAAGGTGGGCTTTTGTTTTTGGCATTGGTTATGTAAACAGGCACATTGTAACAGAAATAGAACTTAGGAGGTCTGTGTCTTAGCTGAGGACAGAGCTCAGTGGTAGAGGGCTTGCAGTATGCACAAAGCCCTGGGTTCAAATCCTAGCACTGGGAAAAAAGAGAGGTGATCAGACTTTACTCTGTATTTCATTCACATCTTAAAGTACTCCACATTAGTCTGCTGACATTTCTTATTAAATTCATCTCTGGTTTTTTGCAGTTTGGTTCTCTTTTCCTTAAAAGATGATAACAACACACATTCTAATTAGTTATTTCTGTGTGACATGAAGACTATTAATGCTGTGTGCTGATTTGATGCACACTTCTTTCAATGAATTCCTGTTTAATTACACGGATGTTTTGTTTCTTGTGTGTTTTTGATGTTGGCCATTGTATTGGCTTCAAATATTAATAGTTCTGGCTCTTTCTGTTCAGTGCTGAGTTTCTGTCCTTCTGTCTGTCCCAGGACAAGCCTTGAGTACATTAAACAGTAGCAGTGCTCTGAGGTCTGCTCTGATTCTGACTCTAGCTATGATGTGGGCTCTGAATGAAGGGCAAATAAACATCAACTTTGTTGTCTGTTTTAATAAAAAGAAGATATTAAAATTTTATCGTTTCAGCTTGTTAAAATCATTTCGTGGAGACGATTTCAGTCTATTGAGTCACATGGATTTTTTTTTTTTTTAATTTAAACTAGCCTTACAGTTCTGTCACTGTAAACAGTAAACTGCTGTTTTTGATTTTCTGATGTTTTATCTAGGAGGTTTTTATGTTTACTCCTAAAGGAAACGGTCCCTCCCATCCCATTTCCACTGTGTTTTTCTTGTCCAGTTTCGGTACTGGGCTGTGCTAGCCTTATAAAATGAACCAAATAGCCTCTATCTCCCAGGTGGAGTGCAGCGTATGGAATTACAGCTTTCTTGAATGTTTGGTAGAATGTGACTGTTAACTTTTCTCACACCTGTATGCTTTAGCACAGGTTGGGGATGGGTAGATTTTTATTTTTCACACCTCTTTGGTTAGTGGTTCTCTTTTCTAGTTTTCTTGATGTACTGTTTCCCAGAAAGATTTCAACTCACCTTCCTTTGGAATAATTTTGTGTAAATTAGTATATAGTTACCCTTTAATTTTAAAACATTTGAGCCCCAGAGTCCCTAGAATACTATAGGCTGCTGCCATTGCTGTTGGCTGCCAATAAAACAATGATGTGGTCCCATTGCTGAAGACACCAGACACTTTACACAGAGACTTAACTGGACAAAGGGCTGAGACTAAGTGACTGTTGAGTGCTCTGTCCTAAGTGGGACATCTGTATCAAATCCTCCAAGGACCGGGGAATGTCACCAAAGGAAGACTGCAAGAGCTGGAGGATGGGAAGGAGAATTGTGGAACACTGTTCCCGAATACGATGTGGTCGCTGCAACCATCAACATACACACAGCCGCTGTGGCTACTAGTCCATGACCTAACACGCACGCACGCACGTATGCTTACACGTGGGTGGTGGTGGGGGGACTGATGGGGAAGGAGGAGGAAGTCAGCAGGTATGTGAAGGAATATGGTCACTATGATCATGATTCATGGTATACATGTGTGCAATTGTCAAAAAGTTCTAAAATCGGTAGTGGCGATAGCTTAACAAATGAGGGCATGCGAAGACGGCTGTGCAAGTGAGGTGCTTGCCTACCAAGTATGACAACTGGAATTTAGGTTACTGGAGTCCATGGAAAAGCCAGTGAGCTTGATGGCCTGCCTGTGTTCCTAGCATGTGGAAGGCAGAGACAGGGACTCCCCAGGCCACTGTGGTTCTCAACCTTCCTGATGCTGCGACCCTTTAGTACAGTTCCTCATGTTGTGGTGACGCCCAACCATAAAATTATTTTCACTGCTGCTTCATAACAGTAATTTTGCTGCTGTGATGAATTGTAATGTGAATATCAGATGTAAAAAAATCATAATGTAGCTGGGCAGTGGTGGTGCACGCCTTTAATCCCAGCACTCGGGAGGCAGAGGCAGGCGGATCTCGATGAGTTGAGGCCAGCCTGGGCACCAGAGTGAGTTCCAGGAAAGGTGCAAAGCTACACAGAGAAACCCTGTCTCAAAAAAACAAACAACAACAACAGCAACAACAACAACAAATCATAATGTAAATATGCGACTCCTGTGAAAGGATTGTCTGACTCCCAAGGGGTTGTGAACTACAGGTTGAGAGCTGCTGTCCTAGGGCAATCTGGCTAGGCAGACTAACAGAGACAGCAGCTGCAGGTCCATCAGGAGACAGAATCTAAACATATGGGGTGGTAAATGATCGAGGAAGACACTTGTGTCAACCTTGGAGCTCTTCATGTGTGCTCTCGCATATATATACACGTGTACCTACACACATGTGCAACCCACACATGTGAACATGCATATGCCACATACAGACATATATACCATCCTAAACTACACATTGAATTGTGTAATGGGCAAGTTGTATACTATATGAATTTTTAAATAAAAATGAATCTTTCTAAAGTTAAAAAATTGTCCATTGCCAGTTTACTTCCTCTTAATGTTGTTTCCTTTATCCTGCTCCCTATTCCTACTCTCAGCCTTTCATAAGCTGTAGACCGAGTTATTGATATTTCAAAGGACCAGCTTTTAGTTTTATTGATCTGTGTTATTGATTTGTTTTATAGCTGGCTAATTTCTGCATATTTACTGGTTCTTTCCCCCCCAGTTTCACTAGGATTATTTATTTTCCTCTAACTTCTTGAATTAAAAAAAGAGTTCACTTTCACTGTTTCCAAGTCTCTTTTCCCCAAGAAATTTAAGACCAACCTTCCTTGCCTTAGTATACTTCATGCCTTTTGGTACATGACCTCTCCATGTTATTCATGTCTAGATAGTATCATTGTTTTTTCTTTGTTAACTAAGAATTATTTTAAAAGATGTTTAACAATATAAGGTACATAGGTTGGCTAGTTATTTGTTGTATTTTCTACTTTCCATCACAGAAGGCATCTGACTGCTTCCCTATGGGACCTGCTGACATCCCCTTTGCAACTTAGCACACGAGGGATTTTTTTCTTCTGCAGTGCTGGCAATGGAACCCAGGACCTTGCACATGCCAGGCCGGTGCTGTGCCAAGGAGCTATACCCAAGGCCCTTGGTCACAGTTACAACTTATGGTTTGTATACTCTTCTCATCTCCTCTTTCTACACCTACAGCTGTTTGATGTGGTAATTCTGAGACCTAGAGAATAAAACAATAGCCACGATGAGGAATCATCACTTTCTCCTTGTGCATCTTTGAGTTTTTACTTTATATATTAAAGCCTGTTTTCAGGTGCCCAGAAGTTGGGACATCTTTATGGATGTCACATATCCTTTGCATTCTGTTTGTGCGGTGCTGGTGATTGAGCCCGGCCGGGGCTTTGTTCACGCTGGGCAAGCGCTTTGCCCTGGAGCCACTGGACTCGGTATTCCTTCAGGTTGAAATAGCTTTACCCTTATTCCTTTCATCATTTACCTTAACCTGTGTTATGACTTCTCAGAGTATGCTGTTTTTATTGGAATCTGTATAACATACATTTTCTACTCTCTGTTTTAGTGTCCTTGTGCCATTTTACTTTACACATGTCTAATAAGCCACATGTAGCTGTATTTTATGTTAGAATTCTAATTTAAGAATCTCTGTTATTCAATAGGGATTTTTACTCATTCACACTGAGATTATTGATGGAGCACATTTTAATTATAATGAGTTGTATTCTTGTACCTTCAGCTCATTGTAGAAGGCTCACGCAGAGCTTTGAGATGTCAACACCTATGCTGACTCACGTCCCGCACCTCTCCAGTGAAAACGCTGAAACTGTTATTTCTTTTACTTCCTGCTTCTCATTCTTCTCCACCTGAGCACTAACATGCTGATATGCC